TGCAGCCACATGCCCCTCGCCCTGGGCGCATGGAGCAAGTGTCCCACACTGTGCCCCTGTGAGCTGCACTCAGGGGCCTGCTGCTCCCACCTGGGGCTTCTTCTCTGCTACTCCTCAGCGTCATAAACTAAAATGCACTTAAAGTATTCTTATTTACTACTTGCTTAATATTTTGTAATCTCGAGTGTGTTCTGAATGTTTTTTGGAAACGCTAATTTTGTTTCACTGCCTTTCAGTATTTCTTCTGTTTTCCCCTGTTACTAGATCATTCCAGACGGCTGTTTTTTGCCTATCTCTGCGATTCATCATCTAAACTGAATTGCATACGAAGCAGAGAATTTTCATACACTGGAAGGAATTTTAATATTTTCCTTTTGAACTGTGTAATTGATATATTAAATTGTTACTACAATCCCTGCTGGTCTGGTACAGGTAAATCTCTTTCACCATTGTCAGTGTTGCCTAGTCATGGAGGAGCTTTACAAGTTTAGCTGTAAAAATTCATTACTGGCTGCAGGATAGCAGAGAGAGTAATCAGAAACTACCAAGTTTTGTCTAAATTGTGTGAGCCAGTGAACCAAGAGTCTGAAACAACTACGATGCCTGTCTGGTTTTAAGCAACAGGACTCTATTTAGATCCTCTTTGTTCTTTTATAAGTTAAATATGTTTTGTTTTAAAAATAACGTTTGGGGCATCTGCTTTGCATTATGAGTTAATTCCATTCATTGTTTTAAAATAGTGATTAACCTTTTGCAAATTATATACTGCACACGAACAGTAATTTTTTCAATAATCTTTAAATGTGCATGCTGTAACAGCGCCATAATGTGGACTGACATAATAGGAATTGACAGTAAATTTTTAGTTGCCTAAATACATATTTAAATGATAGAGCTGAAGAGTCATCTGCAAAAAGCTATTATGACCCAGAGACTTAATTCATATATAGATAATTTTTCCAGTGTGAATTAAGGAAGAATTTTTCTTTTTCCATTATCATTTAAATTATTTTCAAAAATCCTGAAACATAAACTGAAAATCTTTATATTTAGAATCAAAGTATGTTTGTGACTTGAAATGATAATATCCAGGTTGTTTTGAGGAGTAACTTTATCCTTAACCCATTATGTTCTACTTACTTATCTGATATGCTGCTCAGCTGGGAGCATCTCCTAACAAGTGCTGATGTTTCATTTCGTACGCATTGTAGAATATTGAAGTGTAATCTATTAAATATTGAATCTTAGCATTGACTGTGAATAACTGTGAACAGTTTTAAACTTCTCTTTTTTTTTTTTAGAGAAGAAAAAGAAAAAGGGTAGTAGTATATTTTCCGTAGCATAAAGTAGAAAAATGCTGTCACTGAATTTCTTGAGAGGAAGGATCAGCATTTGATCATCCAGTTACATTCCAATCTGGAATTCTTCACTCTAAATCACTGATAGCGATAAGCTGGGAAACTACACTGGGAAAGGATAACGCTGTAAATACTGTAGATGTGCATTCCCTTCTGTGAATTTCCATAGGTCTCTTTTAGAAATGGGATGTTGGACCAAAAGGACCCTGAGTGGCAGTTCAGGATACATTCATCAACATGAATGAAACTGCTTGCATGAGTTGTGATCGAGGAAATGGATCACAAAACGTATTTTAGTTCACATTGCTTTAAACAATGTTTTGTGATAATTACATTTAGGGTCAACATCCTCCTGGGGCAGATGGATTAATATATACAATACAGTATGCAGAATTGAATGGAAAGATCTTGTAAATTGTGTGTATCCAAACAGTTTATTAGGAATAATGAGAAATTTTCTGAAATAGTGTAAAGCTTTTTTGTTGCTATTCATAAATTATGATTTTGATATAATAAAATAGTCCAAAGTTTTTACTGTGTACTCCTGAGAATACTCCAGTGGGTAACACTTAATATAACTTTCTGTTCATTATTCTGTTTCAAGATACCCTGTTCTCTCCAAAACTGATTTACTGTAGACATTTTCTTTGCATCCTGCATAATTTGCATCTTCCTTGTGAAGAAGAAAGTTATTTCAGTATGAAAAACAAATATATTTTTGTTAAAAATATCGAACAGTGGTATTTTATGCCCACTGGAAGGCTGAAGTTTGCCATAGTCCAGGAACAGTGGAGTAGGTGCAATTAAAATTTCCCAGTGCACCTCGCCACGCTAAACGAATGTTCTTTTTCCATTAAAATAATACAATGTTTTAGTAATGCAATTTTATTCATCCTTAGAATTTATAGAATTACTCTCTGAAGTGGCCAAATGTCTAAATTCTACCTAAATTCCTTTTGATCCAAAACAATCTTGGGTTCAAGCAAAGCTTTCAGTCCTGTTTTCTTATTCACATAATAATTTTGTGTGGTAATAAAGATACTGAAAAAAATGCACCTTAGCTGTTAAGATGTGTGTTTTTTCATGTTCATTTTTTTCCCTTCGACTGTATGACTGAGTGAGCGGGCACACTGGGAGTGCGTACGGATTACCCGGCTGACAGAGTAACAGTTGCATACTGGAATTGGATCGTGCTGGGGAGAAAGGGAAGAATGAGAGTACCTGGGACTGCTGCACACACTTTAGCACAATTGACAGCTGAAATATATTTGTAACATTACGATGCCATGATTGAGGTTCATAACTCTGAATAATGTTCTTGTTAGAGCACTTGTTAATGATACTGTGTTGAGAACAGGTAATACACATTTTACATTTGGAGTAAAAGTTGTTGTTTGAGTCCTCTCTCATACTTGTATTTACAAATTGTTAAAAGCCATTTTTAAATCTTACTTTTGGGAAATGTTTTCCTTTTTCATCTTACGTAAAATGTAAGAGATCAAAAAGAAAGCAGTTATATGAAGTAAACTATAAAGGAATCAGGGAGTATATACATATATATTTTATTACAATTTAATTACATCTTTTGTAACCTTGATTTCATGTTGTTCTCATACTTACTAATGATTTTTTTTTTTAAAAGTGCTAGATCATGATTTTATATACGGGACAGAAAAAACTGCTTTCAGGTTATAAGTACTGTATTTTTAATAGAAGTACAAACAATTCATTACATTTTTATCGGTGATAAATCTAGCCAGGATTTATTGATAGTTTCAGCATTTCTTAAACAAAACATTACTAAAGCTATTATTTTTGAATTATTAACTTCCCAATGTAGTAAAAATGTAAACTTAATAATTTAATTGGTTTTATGTTTTTTACCTTTTTTGTCTTTATGAAGCATCTAATTTGTTTCTAGTCTCTTGGTCTGCTATAAAAACCTTCCTTTGTTGGACAAGGTCACCTGTAGGACTTAGTTATTTATATTAAAATAAAAATGCTGTGGTTTTAAACTATATGTATAACTTTAAGAATGTGGATAGTCCTGTTGCTTCAATAGCCTACATGCATCTTTTAAACCAAGCATGTGCAATGTATATTTGGAAGAATCAGTTGACATCTTTGCTAGGAAGCTGGCTTGCTGTATACTTTCTTGCTTTTGCAAGGACAATTTGAAAGCATTGAAAAAATGCTTTAGATTGAGTGCTTTAAATTAACACTTGTTGCATAAAATAGATTAATGATGCATTTTTTAATGCCTCATGCATTTAATGCAATCTTAGTGTTTTTGTGAGCATTCTTTCATAGTAATTAGTTTTAGGAAATTAGGACAAAATCTTTGCAGGAATGAGTATCAGAGTTCGGTATAACCTGTGGCTTCATGCCGTCTCCTGGGATTTTTTGTATTCATTTTTATAGCGCAGACGCAGCCTATCTCTTTGAAGGGAAAACGCATTTCCAAGATGTGTGCCATGGTTGTCGCTTGTTACAATTTAGTTCTGATACTCACAGGTAGTTTGGTGGGAAGGAATTGTCTTCTGTTTCCTTAAATTTTTGCTTAAGAGCTAAAAAAAGAAAGAAAAAAGGGCATGGGGAGAAGAAAATACCTTAGGTGGTATTAAGTATATAATAAGGATTGATACAAGTGAAAAGTCATATGTTCTCTTTTTTTTTTTCCAAAAAATATATTTCTCTCTTAGCTTATCAGAACAGTTTGTACAACATAAGTGATACACAGTATTTTGTTATTTCCCTGTCTGTATCTACCACTAAAGGCTAATTTCATGATTCTGTTGTCTATTTCATCATAATGTCGTTCTAATTCAAAGCAGGATCGGTTGGTTTTGGTTTTGGTTTGTTAGGGATTTTTTTGAGCCGATACTCAATAGCTTTTAAAGGGCAGGTTAAAAAATAAACATGAAATGCTAATAAAATATTATGTCTTACATTACTGGATATTATAGATGGCTTGTGATTCTACTGACTCTCCTTGAAATTAGTTTGCTGCTGAAATATGATGTTAAAAATGTCAGTAATAGAAAACGAAGCTCATGCTACAGTAAGTTACAGTTTAAAGTATAGCTATGTATAAAATACATTTTTGAGAAACTATGAGAAAAATGTATTAGAAATACTAATTTACTAGCATATATCTGTTTCAGGAGCGTACATGCAAATCATGTAAGGGAGGAGTCATAATATTTCCTGGGCAGGGCATCAGTGAGGTTTTTAGTCGACATGTTTGGGTACAGCCACAGCTGTTGGATTGGCTTAAGGCCACCTCAAGGTACAACAGGTGGGACATGGCTAAGAATCAATAAACCTTCAACAGATTTTACTGTTCAGAGCTTCTCTGGCATTATCTCATCTCAATAGAGTGACTCAAAGGGTGGAATTTGTCTTGAGAAGCAGCAGCCCACCTCCATAGTATGTAGATGTCAGGTTTGCACACTGAGAAGGCAGTGTGTTCAAAGACCCTGAACAATTTCTTTGTTACCCTTCCTCTGCTCTTTGAATCTGTTTAGTCGACCCAGAAGGCGTGTGGTCCCACATGGATGGATTTGTGTTGCTCAGCTGAGTGGTCAGACACAACCCATCATCATTCTGGCCTCATTCCAATGAAGTTCAGACTAGTACACGGTGGATGGGATGTGGTGTTAAAACGCAGCACTTTCAGGTAAATTGAAGGAGTGGAGCCTCCATTGCCTTTAGCTCTCTGCTGCTGAGCCTGTGCTAATGTGGGTCTGCCAAGTATAGGTTTCATCTCTTCTGGTGATCCTTTTTGTGGTTTTGTCTTGTGTCTTATTTTACATGTCTTATTACTTAGATTAGGAAAATACAGTGATGTCATAAGAGGTAATAAAATAATAATTATGAAATGCATTGTGAAGCATAGATGTAGTCAGAAGTATTCCAAAGTATGACTACATGAGCAAAACATTTTGACATTAAAGGAGAGAAGGATGTCGTTAGTTAAAACTGCTGGCATAGTTATGTGATAAGGTCATCTGCTCTTTGGTGTGCCAGCCAATGAGAGAAAACTATTTAATTTTTAGAGGTGAAAAATACAGAGTCAACTATTTCTAAATACTGTTTTGTGAAATTGTGTTTCACCCCCATAAGTGGTTTTCTGTGTAGAAGGTGTGCTCTAAACAGGATGGGTCTATCTTTTCAGCTTGGCTAATTGCTTCCTTTCAGAAATCCAGAATGCATGCAGATCTGAACTTGTAGCCAGGAAAAAGTGCTGCCATGCTTCAAAGTGCCAAGGACCTCAGGGGACAAAAACTTGACCTGGTTTTATGAAACCACAGAATTACATTTATACAAGTTAGCCCATGGGAAAAGAATGAACTGATCCCAATTCATTTCTAGATTCTGGGGCCTTATGGGTCACATTTGAATTCTCTTCTACACCTGTTTTTCTTCTAAATTTTTCTGAGGACATTTTTAGAAACATACTTTACATTAGGTATGGGTCATATGCCTAATATTTAACAGTTCAGTATTCTAATTCTTTAAAATGTCTAATGGTTTCTCAATATAATTAAGCTATAAAAAGTTTCAATTATAGAATTTGTTTGGTATGGGCTAAATCCTCAAGCCATGAACTCTTCCCAGGGCTTAGTAAGTAAGGCTTTGTTTTCCTGCATGTGAAATAGAGCAGGCAGTGACTGTAGTCAGTACATTGTGTATGGGCTGGAGAAAAGAGAGCAGCTCTGCAGATGGGTCGTTAGGCTGTTCAATTGGAACATGGCTCAAGGTTCAAAAACCTGTGGCTCAAGCGTTACCCGGTGAGACAGTTTCCAAGAAGACTCTCAAGACTCCATTCTTCCTTCCTCCAAAATGACCTTTCTCTTTCCCTCAATTAGACTAAAAATTTGGGTTTTGGGAAATCTTGGTTCATGCCATGTCTTGGAATCAATTAAAGTGATGAGTAGGTGCTACCATGGTTTTCCTCTTTCAATACTTTGGTTTGAACTAGAAACCTAAATACCCTAGGGTGAGTGCTTACCTTTCCCTGGTGAGGTGGTATGGTATTTATGGTGTCCAAGTGTTCCTGCTGGTGTAGTGCCAGGTTGGACTATGACAGCTAAGTTGAAATAGGGGGCCCTAAGGACAGGGAAGTGTTCCTTAGTTCATATACTTGTAGGGTTACATTAAAATTAGAATTAGCTTGCATTTTGATTTATTTAACAAACTGAGTGTTCTGTTCAGCTTGAGTTTGCCTCAGCAATTACTATCCCACAGAGACTCTGCAAACCTTCCAGGCTTCGCTTTCACCTTCTTTTCCTGTTCTCAGTCAGTCTTTCCCATCCCTGAAATGTATTTTCAGTGCTGAAACTGGCATTAAGTGCCTTCGTAGGTCTACCTGTTTCTAGTGAATGAGTGACAGATTTGGATACTACTAGTCCAGTATAGATGCTTTTCCCTTTAACACCATCTTAACACTTTAGATCGAGTGAACAGCTCAGCTGATGATCCCTGGCTGTAGGCTTTTTGCTCATCAATGTGGATGGATGTAGGAGAGGAGGCTAGTTCCTAGATTGTACTCCTTTTATTTGCTTGGGCAAAAAAGGATTGGTAGGGGACAAATGGGTGTAACGATGTTACCAAAAAGTAAGAAGATACTTACTTACTCTGGTTGGTTGTTTTTCATACTAGTGAATTTTTCCATACAGATTGTATTAAGCCTTTCATGACTTTGCCAGTCTGGATAATCAAATGCCCTGCATCATTGTAGGGCATCATCTTTGACTGACAGAGTGAAGGGCAGGTCTTCTAAATGGTGATTACTTATCACTATTATGTATTTATTATAAATGTGTACATCATGTCCCTTTCTAATTCACCTCAAAGTGGTCATATTGATCCCTAAGCTCTTTTTTTTTGTCTTTCTCTAAGTCAGCCTTATGCTTTTAGCAATTCAGCTTTGTTGATACCATCAACAGGTTTGACTGCTATGTGATGTTGATATCCTAAGTGGGTAGAAGGGGACATTTTTTTCCAAGACACAGAGAATGGTTTTGTTCCCACCTGATTTTTAATGGAAGGTAGGGAAGTCCAGTTGCATTTAGGGGCTTAAACATTTTTCATATGTGCTTGGCTTTTCCTTTGCAGTTCTGTTGTTCATAAGTTGGGTAGAAGATGCATTAATTTTGCTGTATCCAGAATAAGTATAGATGAGTCTAGTCTAAGGCTTTTGGCTTATCAGTAAAATGTTTTGGCTGGTTTCTGATTTTGGTAGTAAATAAGGGAAATCTTTAAGATCATCCTTCATTGTGATTGAAATGTTTGTCTTAAATTTTCTTTGCATCTAAACCAGAGAGGAAAAAAATCCTTTGTTATCTTTTTGATTCATAGAACAACAACTCAGAATGAAGGAACAAATTCAGATCTTTGAAAATTTAAACTCTTCCTTTCCCTTTCCTCTTCTTCTATTTATTTTCTTCTCCTCACACACCTCTCTGGATTTTGGAGAAAATGAAGATGAAAATCTGCAATTCTTCATGGAAACCCTATTTTATTAGGCATTGTGGAAACTTTAGATATAGAGGATTCTTAGTGGAAGCAGTTGCTAACCCTAGCAGAAGCAGTAGGGACAAGAGCCCTGAGGCTATAGGGTTGGGAACATGCTGAAGAGTAGCATAGTGAAGAGGCAGAAGTGAAAGGCTGTTTGACAGCATGTTAAAGCAAATTTATCTGGTGTTAGTCACATGCAACCTTACAAGTTTACATATGTATGATCAAATTTTCAGTCTTTGGGTCACAACTGTGTCCTTTCCCTTCGCTTAGTAAGGCTGTGTTTAGATTAGTGCCTGGGAAGGCAAAGAAGTCTTGTTGCCTATAGCGTGTCGGTAGGGTGATTTAGAGGAATAAAATTATGCAGGTCCTTAAATGTTAGCAGTATTGGTACTTGAGTTTTCATAAGCTGGAGTTTTGCAGATAGCAGCAACCAAGTGTAGGAGCGATCAAAGAACATTATTTGTAATCAAACTGTGAGTTAGGTGTTATAAAACAACTGCTGGGTGCTTGTGTGCATGTGAAATTTGCTTACCCGAGTAATCCCATTGATTTAAATGAGAGCATTCATGTGACGAAAACAAGTTCAATGTGAGAATGTTTGGAAGATGGTGACCTTAGAAATGAACAGTCGTCTTTGGAAGGATTCAAAGGGTGGTTATTAAAACTTAAGACTGAGAGTTGCTGTTTGAAGGCAGAAATGGCTAGAAGGTGTTCGAGGAACTCACCTGCCAAATAATAATGCATTTCAATGACGCTGGGTAACTCTGCCTCAACTTTCTCGTACTCTTTTTTGGGGGGATGGGGGAAGGGATGGAAAGGAGGGTGAGAGAGGGACGGTGACAGCAAGGCTGTTTGTTTTTCCCGAAAGTTGTTTGTGATTTCAGGTACTCATGGGAAATCTCTTGATCAGATTCACATCTGTTCCTGTCAAAGTGGGTGCTAAGATACCGGTCACCCAGCAACCATGTCCAAGAGGGAATTGGGCCGATAATAACTTCAAAAAGGAATGACAGATGCTAGATTAGGATGAAAGACAAAACGCATGAAAAATGAGCTTGTTAGAATAAAAAAATTGTTCAAGCACCTTCATGCAAATTAAATGAATATCGAACATTTGCATGCAGTAATTTCTACTTTTTCTGTTGATTGAGAAGAAATAAAGATGGTACATATAAAAACATAAATGTAATTTTTTTTTTTTGCACCAATTAACATACAAAGCAGTATCTTTCTTCTAAAAATGAGATTAGCCACCTGGGTGCTTGGCTGTATCCCACATATGTCACAACATTTTTGTAATATGTGTGCTTCTGTTGAAGGAACACCTTATCTAATTCTCTGCAGCAAAACAAACAAGGAAGCGACCTTATAGTAATTTTAAAATACTTTAGGTTAGCATGGGTCTATTTTTTTTCAGCTGCGGTTTTCAGAGCTGAATTATTTCCTGCTGTCCTTGAATTCAATAGGTATAATGTGCATTAATAAAAGATCACATAAGATGAGTTCAGACCAAATGCTAAGGTTTCCTATTGACTGGTCAAACAATACATATTTTAATACATCATGTCTGTCAGGATAACGTAAAAAAGAAATAGTCACTTTTCCATGCCTATGCATTAAGATAATTTAAATAATCTAACAATTTTATTATTGAAATGTTCATATAACAGTCAGAATTTGGAAAAGAATGATAAAATGTTCTGATTGAGAAAGGACTCTGTGTCTTGGTTTAGCAATGTCTAATGTGGTCACGTACAGAAATTGATTTTCTTCAGAAATTAATTAATTTTTCATATCGCCCTAAGCTGCAGTTAAAAAGAGTGCATACTTGTCTGTTTTTTCCAGAAATATTGCCTAATCATATTAATACCATTGCCCCAAGGATGAAAAGATAATTGTACAAATGCATTTGGAAATATGTATCACTGAGTATTTATGATTAAATTATGCAAATGACCCAGCTCTCATCCTTTCCAGACCCAGATTGTCTAATTAGGATTGATATGCTGAATAGATGTTCCAGAATTTGAATACAAGCATGTCCAAAGAGCAGAAAATTGGAAATGACAAGGCTGAAATGCTAAGAAAAGTGTCTTTCCCTTTTATACTTTACTAATGTGGTGTTAGCAGTTGCAGTTTTTCCTTTGGCTATAT